CTCTCTCTCTCTCTCTCTCTCTCTCTCTCTCTCTCTCTCTCTCTTCTTGTCTTCTTCGTCGTTGTCCTTTGTGCAGGTACGCGTCACCTTCTTCCGCAGCGCAGCTATGGCGGACCTCTTCTTCAAGGGTGGCACACTTCAACTACAGCGCCTACGCGTCTCTCTCCTGCTACAACGGCGATTGCGCGTGAGGTAGCGGGTACCAGCTCCGATACCAGTGCAATCAGACTCGCAACCATTCACACTTTGCGTGCATGTAAGTAGGCAATACAGCAAACTGGCAACATGCGCCTACTCAAAGCTCAGAGATATGGTAACCACGGACACAGTTCAGATACACCCTCGATTCAAATGGCTATGGCGCAACAGCGCCTGTACAACACCCTGTTCGTCACTGCGCCTCACTTTGCTGTACACGCAGGCTCAACTAGGATCACCCTGGATACCCCACACGCATCTCTCTGCACACTCACGCACACACACCTATACTAACTATGGCAGCTATGGCCGCCAGCTACACTCACTACAGCAGCTATGGCTGCGCTAACTCCCTTCAGCCCACTTCGACTTCAGGCTCCTCTGCAGACCACCTCGCACAAGTCCTGTGGCAGTGCTTCCGCATCGCTTCCGCAGGAATGAATGAATGGCTGTGTGCTGCCTCTTGATTTATACTTCTGTAACTCGTTGGTCTGCCTCTTTCCACCGGGCCCATGGTGCACACAGTCCCCCCTTGGTACTTGCTGACTGTGCAAAGTGAGACTGGGACTGGGCACCGCTGACTAAGCGAAGTTGGACGCACCACTTGCCCACTTGCCTCTGGCCTTCTGTGTAAAACGTGAGGGGAAACTTGAAAGGCCACTTCCGGACCTTCCGGAAGACCGTGGACTTGGCCTTTCAGTACTGTAGCAGCTACGACCTTGACCTTTCAGGACTGTAGCAGCTACGACCTTGACCCTTCAGAGGAGCTACAGGTACGACTTCTAGAACTCACTAAGACTCCTATCCGACAGGTCTACAGATCGAATCCCCTACAACCTACGGACCTAAAACAGCCTACCAACTGTTTGCGAATACACAGGTCACGGGTTCAAACGCACAGGGGTCAACTCGGTACTGTACATGGGTAAGGTAAGGTCTGGGGATCGAACCCTGGGATCTGCATCTGCCTCTGCAAAGGTGAAAACCGTTTCAGTATCTCTGTGATAGACGAAAAAAAGTCCCAACTCAGATTCAGTTCATGATCTGCGTGGATTCAAGTAGATAAAGATGCTAAACATAAAGCGATGAAGAAATGTCAAAAAACTGAAAAACGGAGTGCAAATCAGGCAAAAACAAGTCGCCTTTGGAAGTCTATGATGAAAATAACGCAGGAGCACCTGATATCTGTGTTCCAACAACATGACCCCTAGAGACTCTACACCCAGTCTAGCACCCCAGTCTGACACCCCTAGTCTAACATCCCTCATCTAACACCACCAGTATAGCACCCCTAGGCTAACGCTCCAAGTCTAGTGCCCCTAGAAACGTGTAGACTGGCCAAAGCTCATACCTTTGGGCTGTGCAAGCAATATACAGACCCCTAGTCTAACATCCCTTGTCTAACACCCCTAGTATAGCACCCCTAGTCTAACGCTCCAAGTCTAGTGCCCCTAGAAACTTGTAGACTGGCCAAAGTTCATACCTTTGGGCCGTGCAAGTAATATAATGCTACGGTCCTGTGACCCACACACCCCTAGTCTAACATCCTGTGTCTAACACCCCTAGTATAGCACCCCTAGGCTAACGCTCCAAGTCTAGTGCCCCTAGAAACTTGTCGACTGGCCAAGGTTCGTACGTTTGGGCCCTGCAAGTAATGTAATGCTATGGTCCTGGGACCCGCACAGCAACATGCTGCCGCATTCAACGTAGCCCTGTGTGGCGGTATGTGTCATACATAGGTAGGACTCACTGCACCGCCAATCCCTATTGTTAGTCATGACAAGCAGATGAGGACAAGGATGACCTGAGAAGTAGGTGCCAAAGGCTTTGAAATCAGACTGCACTCCAAACTTGCTTGTAACATGCACACATGCAGACTGATGGTAAAACCAAACTCTTTCAACTCAGAATCATCAATGAACTTGTATTTAGACTCAGTCCAAGTCAACTGTACAACTTGCAGCTGTGGCCGCCAAACACTGTATCCACCACCAGCCTCACTCTCCCTCTTGCACGCATGTACGAGGATCTACCCTGAATGTCCACGCTGCCCATACAAACATACTCTGTACACTCTGTCTGTGACAACAGCCGGGCGGCTATGGCCGCCGTCGTCTTCTTCCTGGCCAGCTATGGCCGTCGTCTTCCTCACTGTGTGACAGGGCTGAGGCAGAGCAGCGAGGTCGGGGAAGAGAGAGGGAGGGAGTGAGAGCACACACACACACACACTCAACTCGACACGGACTCGACACGACTCGACGAACGCAGACACAAAGTGGCGAAGTCGCAAAGTCTCCAAGTCGCAGTTTTGGATTCCGAACACAATGTCGCAGCAAGTCACACTGAAGCACAAGCACTGAGGCAGAAAACTGAATCCCCCGAACTCAGCTTGAGTCCGGTCTTAAGTACCGGACTCAAGTTGAGTTCGGAGGGCAGAAGTGCAATTTGCCTCGGGGCTAAACTGAAAATTGAAGGTCTGAGCCTGGGCGCCAGAATGTCGGATGGCGCCAAGTATTGAAATCCGAAAGTGTCAGAGGCGGGATTTGAGAACGGGCGCCAGATGCAGAGGGCGCCAACAGTCAGGCACCGGAGAACAGAGGCTAAAAAAAAATGAAATAGCAGCCTGGCGGGTGGTAACCCGCGGACCAGAGATCGAGCCCTGGCTGGGTCCGTAACACAATCCCCTCCCTCTGGAAGGCAACGTCCCGGCTGCCAAAGACCCAATGAACAACTGTGACGGACGGGACGGGGCCGATCACTGGTCAGAAAAGGAAAAGGGGAGTAATGCAAGTAGCAGGGTAATCCTATTGATGTACTACGGGGATGAGGGAATCAATGCTCAAGTAACAGGGTAATCCTATTGAGGTTCTACAAGGGTGAGAGTAGCAATGTTCGGGTCATATGGTAATCCTATTCAGGTTCTACAAGTAACAGGGTAGTCCTATTGGTGTTCTACAAGGTTATAGGTTGTCAGGTTTGAGAAAAATAAATTAAATAAACTGTTTGTTCAATGCTGAAGTGTTGGGGTGTCTGAGGGGTCTGGGAAGACAACGTCTCAGTCTTGTAACAGGGTGTCAAAAGCGAAAACATGTCATGAGGAGGGTCTTGGAGGGTGTCGCAGAAGTGGCGGTGAGGAAGCAGTCTTCAGCGATTCTGTGATGTAGACAGTGAGGGCTTCAGCTTGATTGTCCCAGTAGCAGGCTGCGTCTGGTACACGATCTGATGATGAGGTCTGATTCGGATAGCAGGTCGCAGACTGATCTTGATGTCCATGTCGAAGGTGCTGCTCCAGAAGTCTGCGAGTCCAAGGTGCCGGCCAAAGGGAACAGCATGGTGGCCAACCAGCTGTCTTATCTCCTCGTACTGAGCTGCACCATGCCATCGTCCTCGTGCGCTTGACATTAGATCCATTATCGCCGGCGATGCGCAGGGGCCACACAGAGAACTTGGACAAGAGAGACAAAGATGTGGCAGAGGACAGATGGGAGAATGGAGCAAGGCGGAGGCAAGAGCGGATCAGACAGGGGGGGGTTCAAGAGGCAAGAGCTTCGCTGGGTACAGGGTTGTGTGTAGGGCAGGAATGCGGGGTTTTGGTGGGGTTAAGGCGGGGTTTACGCAAGGGTTTAGGGTTTGGGTTATATTATGTATCTAGGATATAGGGTGAGTGCGATCATTGACGCGAACACGTTTCAT